GTTCCTCATCCCTTCAATACCTCACCTGAGATCGTATCAGTCGAAAGCAGTACAAAATATCCAGCTTGTAGAAGTAACAGTTTGAATATTCTGACGCCAATGGCTACCGTGACTTTAAGTGCTAGACAGCTGAACTGCTTCTCTTAAAATAGATACATTAGGCTTTTATTGTAGACAGCGACATGCATGGCCGACTGACAACCTGACCGACAACCTCACAAACTGACAACCTGACAACTTAAGTACCAGACCACATGACCAAAGTACTTCCGATCACCGGATATAAAAATTTGTCGTCTGTTATTTATATATTTTTATTCTCTTTTCAGGGGCGTCGTTCTACTGGAGGCCAACACTTAAGCCTGTTATTTATGTGTATTTTCAGGGGCGTCGTTCCACTGGAGGCGAACACTTAAGCCTGTTATTTATGTATATTTTCAGGGGCGTCTTTCTACTGGAGGCCAACACTATAGCCTGTTATTCATGTACTAGGCATGCTGCCCAGCTTCGCTTAGGCTTTCGAAAACATTGAGAATGTGAATGCTTAATTAATTCGCCATAGGGTCGGTCTACGACCTCAAGAGTTATGAAGAGGTTCCTCCGTGGACATTTTTTTTTCGATTTATAGCTCATATAAGGTACCGGTCAGTCGAGGTCAGTTTTGACCCCCTCATCGTAGACTTTTCGGCCAACCGGCCCCTGTGTTATGTCGCCCCAAGGCAAGATCCTGCCAAATTTGAAGCGCCTGCGGCGCCGGGAAGTGCCTTATCGGACACCCGACAATCTAGATCTAGAATCCTAATTGAATTTTTTTTTTTTTAAGTTTAGTCCGAGCAAAATAAAAAAAAAATACATTAACCAAGTTGACTTGGTGGGTCTCGAACCCGCACCACCTGCGTGGTTTATAGTACACTAACATCTCCGCTATTTAGGCACCATATAAAATTCAGAGAATGAAAGACGTATTTTAAAATCTTAACTTACGCGAATATGCCTATTCTTTCAAATTAATTTTTTTATCCCAAATTAGCCAGTTCCAAACACAGATTTTGTATAAATAAATGTTATGAGTTTAGGCCGGAAAAATTGTATTGTATACATTTCATAGTGTACGTAGATCTAAATCAAATTTGAATGAAATAGTTCATTTCTTTTTTATTTTAAACACGGCAGATGACGTCATTAGTAAGCAATAGTGTCGTCACAGTTTTATGCGTTCTTTTACATATCTATTAATGCTTTTCCGGTTGCATAAATAATACTGTTTTCTCTATATTCGAATACGCCTTGATTTTTTATTTTTCTTCTTTAAATAAAATTGTGGTTATACATTTAAAACATCTAACATATTATTTTCAACAAAAGTCCGTATAAAGTTCTCCATATATCGCTGCCGTTTCTGACGTGATGTCCGGCGAAAATTTTTTGCGGACAGAGAGAGAGAGAGAGAGATGTGCGAACGTAGCCCATTATAGTATTAGAATATTTTCAGGGGCGTTGTTGTACTGGACGCCAACACTTAAGCCTGTTATTTATGTTTATTTTCAGGGGCGTCGTTCTACTTGAGGCCAACACTTAAGCCTGTTATTTCTGTATATTTTCAGGTGCGTCGTTCTACTTGAGGCCAACACTTAAGCCTGTTATTTCTGTATATTTTCAGGGGCGTCGTTCTACTGGAGGCCAACATTGAAGCCATACCAATCAACCAGTGTGTCGATGATGGCGCTCTGTTCTCGGGGTCACATCGCTGTATTCAATCTTCTACAGAGGTAAGTCTAGGGGTCATCTAGGGGTCATCTATGGGTCATCTAGGGGTCATCTAGAGTCATGGATTGGTCTTTAGGCAAGTTGTCATTTATGCTGGGGTCAGTGGTAAAAGGGTCATTTGATGGTATTGTGTGGGTTCAGTGGTCAAGTGGACAATTGGTTTGGGGGTCAGTGGTCAAGTTGTCATTTGGTGGTACGGGTTCAATTGTCAAGTGGTCATTTGGTTTGGGGGTCTGTGGTCAAGTTTTCGTGGTATTGTCTGAGGTCCTTGTTCAAAATGTAATTGACTGGTGTTGTCTGGGTTCAGTGGTCAAGCTGTCGTGTGGTGGTGTGGTGTGGGTTCAGTGGTCAAGCTGTCATGTGATGGTGTGGTGTTGGTTCAGTGGTCACGTTGTCATTTGGTGGTGTGGTGTGATTTCAGTGGTCAAGTTGTCATGTGGTGGTGTGGTATTGGTTCAGTGGTCACGTTGTCATTTGGTGGTGTGGTGTGGGTTCAGTGGTCACGTTGTCATTTGGTGGTGTGGTGTGATTTCAGTGGTCAAGTTGTCATTTTGTGGTTGGTGTGGTGTGGGTTCAGTGGTCAAGTTGTCATTTGGTGGTGTGGAGTGGTGTGGGTTCAGTGGTCACGTTGTCATTTGGTGGTGTGGTGTGGGTTCAGTGGTCAAGTTGTCATTTGGTGGTGTGATGTGAGTTTAGTGGTCAAGTTGTTTTTAGTGGTGAGGTGTGGGTTGAGTGGTCAAGTTGTTTTGTTGTGTGGTGTGGGGTTATGGCTGATGTGAAGTTTTATCGGAAGTCAGTGGTCAACGAGGGCTGTGATGGATTTGTCAGTGACGCGAACGTTCAGTTGTTTGGGATGTACGAGGTCAGTTGTTTGAGTTACCCGTGTACATAATTGTCAGCTGACTGGGGTCAGTGTTCTAGTAAGTCAGTTGTCTGAGTTGGTCGTTCATGTGCAGAGTTTCTTCCAGACATCTCTTCGGGTGGGGGGGGGGGGCGATACCCCCGAAGAAAGTCTACCGCCCCCCCCCCGAACTAGATGGAATTTATATAGTTATCGTATACTTTTATTAGTGTCCGCCCCCCCCCCCCCCCGGAGATAAAAGTCTGGAAGAAACACTGTCCATGTGTACCCTTTTTTCCTTTTTAAAATATCATCAGATGTTATATCTTTCTATACGTTTTGTTTTCCCATGTCCACAGTGCCAGAATATCCCAAGTTCAAGTTTCAAGGCCGCCAGCTACAGGTGTGTTTGCAAGACAGGCTACCACATCCCTGGGGCAGTCAACCAGTACTTCGAGGGCAGCGCCGTGGAAAACGCTTACATCTCCTACATCCGCAATCTCAGCCTGAACTACACGACGCTGTACAACTGCCTGCCCATGTTGGCTACGGGCTCATCGTCCCCGCCCCTCAGCGTGGACAGCGAGCAGATTGTGGCCTTTGACTTTTTGGTGCGCGGGATACCGCTGGGGATACAGAGCTTCTGCATGACCGTGTCCCTGGTCATTGGGATTGTCATAGTATGTTTCAGGAAGACGAAGGTGAGTTGATGGTGTCGGTGATGGGTGTGTGAGAGGTGGTGGGAGGGGGGTAGAGTGGTTGGGTTTTAGGGATGTTGTGTTGGGGTGGGTAGGTGCTAAAGTGATAAGGTTTTAGGGATGTTGTGTTGGGGTGGGTAGGTGCTAAAGTGATAAGGTTTTAGGGATGTTGTGTTGGGGTGGGTAGGTGCTAAAGCGATAAGGTTTTAGGGATGTTGTGTTGGGGTGGGTAGGTGCTAAAGTGATGAGGTTTTAGGGATGTTGTGTTGGGGTGGGTAGGTGCTAAAGTGATGAGGTTTTAGGGATGTTGTGTTGGGGTGGGTAGGTGCTAAAGTGATGAGGTTTTAGGGATGTTGTGTTGGGGTGGGTAGGTGCTAAAGTGATGAGGTTTTAGGGATGTTGTGTTGGGGTGGGTAGGTGCTAAAGTGATGAGGTTTTAGGGATGTTGTGTTGGGGTGGGTTGAAAGGTGGTGGGGGGGAGGGTAGAGTGGTTGGGTTTTAAGGATGTGTATGTGTGTTGGAAGGCGGGGGGGGGGGGGCTGGGGGTTGAGAGGTGGTGGATTGGGGTAGAGTGATGGGGTTTTAGGGGCGGTCTGAGATAGAAGGTGGGGGTGGTTGGGTTTAGAGTGGGGGGGAGGGGGGTAAGAGTGGGGGGGGGGGTTAGGCAATATGTCCTAGGCAATATATATTGTTATAAATGTAACTGAAAGATAGTAGGGTCTTAAAGTTGTTTACCATTCTGATTGCGACTGAAATAATACACGATTTTTAAAAAAAATCTTATAATTTGTCGTAAATTTTGTTGCACCTCTCCATTTGAAAATTTCTACAAGTAGGCCTACACATTTTACATAAAATTGTTTTCTGACATAGTATTTTGAAATGGTAAACTTTAAGAGACTCGAACTCGCCGTAGCTAATAAAAATACATTTTTTGTTTCGGAGGCCCTTGGTTTAGGGGTGGGGGATATAACACCATTCATAACACTGCCTTGCCAACACCACTGACCACCCTCCCTCACCCCCTTTGATTCTGCTAGCAGTCTTCAATCATAGGTAACAGTTGAAGACTTACAAACCGACACAAGCACTGTACAATGTAACCAGAGGCGTAGCGATGGGGGAGGGGCAGGGGGGACATATGTCCCCGGGCGCCGACCTTAGGAGGCGCCAAAATAGGAAAAATTAATCGAAAGTTTGAGGGGGGTGTATGCAAATTGAAAGTTTGAGGGGGTGCAAATCAAAAGTTTGGGGGGGGGGGGGGTGCAAAATGAAAGTTTGTCCCCGGGCGGCGGGAAGGGTCGCTACGCCTCTGAATGTAACAGAGCGTGGTGTTGTAACAATGCAACACAATAACATCTAATGTAATCTTTGACTAAGCAAACCAACCGTGACAATCGTAGCAGGTTGTATTATCCACAAGTTATGTCATGTCTACTAATTTAACAATTAAACTATTTAAACGTCTACAATTTCATACCGCCCCACCACCCACCCACACACACACACACTTTCTTCACACCACTTGAGCCGCTCACAGCTATAAATAGTACACCGTTCGATTCCATATCGACTGGCGTTAATTCAATTTTCCTTGGATGCATAACGAAGCAAAAATCGATTGAGCTCGATTATTTACTCAGATATTCGATTACCGCTGTAGATCGGGACGAACCGGTTCTGTAAATAAACAGTGGTGAAAAATCTATCGATGCCGTTTTTTATGCCATGGTGAGAGAATATATGACTAGAACTGGAACTATTTAGTGCTTGAGATGTAAGACCAAAACCCTTGCTGACCCCAAACTCTGACCCCAACACAACCCTGAGCCAAACACAACCCTGAGCCAAACACAACCCTGACCCAAACACCAGCCTGACCCAAACACAACCCTGACCCAAACACCAGCCTGACCCAAACACAACCCTGACCCAAACACAACCCTGACCCAAACACAACCCTGAGCCAAACACAACCCTGACCCAAACACCAGCCTGACCCAAACACAACCCTGACCCAAACACCAGCCTGACCCAAACACAACCCTGACCCAAACACAACCCTGACCCAAACACAACCCTGACCCAAACATAACCCTGACCCCAACACCAGCCTGACCCAAACACAACCCTGACCCAAACACAACCCTGACCCAAACACAACCCTGAGCCAAACACAACCCTGACCCAAACACCAGCCTGACCCAAACACAACCCTGACCCAAACACCAGCCTGACCCAAACACAACCCTGACCCAAACACAACCCTGACCCAAACATAACCCTGACCCCAACACCAGCCTGACCCAAACACAACCCTGACCCAAACACAACCCTGACCCAAACACAACCCTGACCCAAACATAACCCTGACCCAAACACCAGCCTGACCCAAACATAACCCTGACCCCAACACCAGCCTGACCCAAACACAACCCTGACCCAAACACAACCCTGACCCAAACACAACCCTGACCCAAACATAACCCTAACCCCAACATCTGCCTGACCCCAACACCAGCCTGATCCCAACACCAGCCTGATCCCAGTCTCTGCCTGACCCCAACATCTGCCTGACCCCAACATCTGCCTGACCCCAACACCAGCCTGATCCCAGTCTCTGCCTGACCCCAATACCAGCCTGACCCCAACACCAGCCTGACCCCAAAAACATCCTGACCCCAACACCAGCTTAAACACAACAGCAGTCTGACCCCAACCTCAGCCTCCTCAACATCAGTCTTACTAACAACCTGATCCCAACGCGACTTTGCCCCTATCACCAGATTCCTACAATTTTCTACATTATATTCAAAAAACCATTTTGATACATTTAGTATAAATGTAGGTCTATTAGTTAAAGCATTTAAACAATACAATTACATTTAGCTTTGCATAAATATAAAATAAATTCGTATGAATACGTATGTCCATATTTCATGTTTGAGTAGGTTTGTAAATCGTTGCGTAAGTTTGTGTGCATATAATTTGTGTGTGAATGTGTATTTAGATCTGTAGTCCATTATTTTATTAATTGTCCATGTTTATTGTTTGCATGCATGTATGTACTTATTATTATGTATAGCGTATGTGTATTTATGAGAGTAAATAAATATATATGTATGCTCCAATATAAGTTTACAATATGCTGGGTTAGTTGCTAATTTTGCTATTTTAGCACAGCGTATGTTACTGTGTGGACAAATTACACTTGTAAACTGCCTAGAACTTATGATTATTTAGATGGTGTCGTTTTAGAGGATATATATATATATATATATATATATATATATATATATATATATATATATATATATATATATATATATATATATATATATATATATACGCGGTCAAATTATGGTTACATCATATGTGTAGCACCTTGATATAGACTTATGGGTAAAGGCCAAACATAAGACATGTAATATTTCAATAGCGGCGTGTTATACAATGCATATAGGTCCACTGCTAACATCTTAACCCCCCCCCCCCCCACCCCTCCGTCCCTTACAACCACCACTAGCATTTTAAAAACTGGTAGTCAAAAACCATCTTCAGCAATCTCCCTCTACTGCCGTGAGAACCCCCCCCCCCCCCCAGTGCATTCAGCCCATCAATATCTCACCTATGGAGCGGACCCTATGCCAAACGCTTAAGCCAACCCACAATTTTAATACCATATAAAAAAAAAAGAATTCTCTCGCATCCCTCCCCCCTCCTCTCCCCTTCCCTTTAGGTTCCCTCCCAGGGTCTGCCTACTACTGCTCCAGCCTCCCTCGCCCTTCCCTCGAACATGCCGTAGTGCAATCTAATAAGTACACTGAGGCGAGCACGCACCCGACAGCACAAGGGGAGGAAACAAATAACAGATACGATGGAGTTATCGATCCGCGATACAGAGAATATGGGCGACGCGCAGGGCATTTCTACGGTGCTCCGATTTGGTCATATTACTCCAAAGTGTCACAGCACACTTAAAACAAGTTTGATCCAGGCAGAAAAGGCGTGATGATGAAAGGTCATTTCTTGGTCATTGCCCTTCAAAAGCATGTGTTGTTGATTTTTTTTTAGGCAAGAGATGAGGTTTTTTTTTTTAAAAATATATCACATTGTAGTTCAATCAACACTAAAATTAGATCAGATTATTGAGGAGATTATCAAATCGGCCTGGAGACAATACGTGTGTGTGTGTTGGTGGTGGTGGGGAGGGGAGGAGTTTGAAAAATTATGTTTTGTTGTTGCCTGATATAAATAATCACAGGTAATATGATTTTAAATTCAGACAGCTTCTGTGTATATCAGTAGCGGAAGTACAAAAAAGACCCCCCTCCTATATATATATATATATATATATATATATATATATATACATATATTTAATTATATATATATATATATATATTAATTATATATATATATATATATTTATATATATATATATGTGTGTGTGTGTGTGTGTGTCTGTGTGTGTGCGTGTGTATGTGTTAGTATACTCTCTCACTACATTTAAAAATTAACTTTCCTGGTGTTGAGTCTCAATTAAATATTGTAAAACTAAAAAATAGAAGATGTTCACTCTGCTGATGGCCATATTCATGTTTAATAAATGACATTAAAATATGTTGTTGTGACTATTGTATCAACTGTTTTGCCCCAATAAAATATGTTGTGAGAACTGTTTTACCCATTATAATGTGTTGTGACAACTGTTTTGTCTCATTAAAATGTGTTGTGAAAACTGTTTTACCCCATTAAAATGTGTTGTGACAACTGTTTCACCCATCAAAATGTGTTATTGTTAAAAAATTAAAATGTGTTGTTTTACCTGATGAAATACGTTTTTGCCTATTGCTTCAGGTGATGAGGTCCAGTATATGGGTCTTGCTGGAGATGTTTTTACTGGGCGCTATTTTGCTCTATGCTACAGTAAGTATTTTTTGTGTGGTATAGGAATCTGTTATTACTGTAATTATATTTCTTTCTGTTACAATAATTTATTTGTTTTTGTATGATGTGATATCTCTCTATGCTACAGTAGGTACTTTTTGTGTGATATGGGAATCTGTTATTACTGTAATTATATTTCTTTCGGTTACAATAATTTATTTGTTTTTGTGTGATGTGATATCACTACAGTAAGTATTTTTGTTGTAGTTATGGTGTGTTGACACTAATTTGTAACTATTATGTTGTGTGGCGTATTTGTTTGTCCCAAATTATAATATTTTAGTTTATTATTTAAGGAGATTCGTATTTGATTTTTTTTATACATGATGCACACATCATACTGATTAAATCTTATTTTGTTTCATTAGGTGGTGATCCAATATTTTGAACCTACCACAACAACATGTCTTCTGCTGCCTTGGTTCAGAGAAATGGGCTTTGCTGTTGTGTATGGTGTTCTAGTGCTGAAGATTTACAGGTATGGGCCCCACTATACAAATATCTTAATGCTCAATACACCATTTTCACCATACTAATCATTTAAGGCTATTTATAAACAATGTGGGATGACATGGTCGTATGACATATGCCAATGGTAGTGTATATGACTTTTATTTTAACCTTATGTGGAGGCTTTAACTGATAGAATTTTAACTAAATGTGAAACTCTTTTTGACAGAATTTTAACTAAATGTGTAACTCTTTTTGACAGAATTTTAACTAAATGTGTAACTGTTTTAATAGAATTTTAACTACATTTGTAACTCTTTTTGACAGAATTTTAACTAAATGTGTAACTCTTTTTGACAGAATTTTAGCAGAGTTCCAGTCGAGGAAGGCACACCGGGTCCATGTTCGTGATAAAGATCTCCTCAAATATTTGGCTGTCATTTTGACTATTGTGATAGCCTACATGTCGGCCTGGACGGCTGTGAACATGGACCACTTGGATCACAATAGTACCATTTTGGAAGAGTTATCTACCCCTGAAGGGTTGAAGTACACACTGTGTCGAGCTATGTGGTGGGATTATGTCATAGAAGCGGGTGAGTACGCTACGTAAAATGTAATGCCCTGCTTCCATTAATTCAGATTTCAGCCTGCTTTTCTTTACTGATTTGCTTCTATAGCCTTTTTCCATGTATAATAAACTACAAGGTAGCAGTTGTTTTAAATTTGGAGTTTTTTTACAGTTATCAACTTTTGAAAATATTTTTGTTTTCATAATCATCATCATCATCATTCCTTTGTGGCCCCTGGGGAGCAAAGGGCTGCAACCACACATCTCCATCGGACTCGGTTTTGGGCTGCCCCCTTTATCTGTGCCCATGTTTTAGGTCTGGGAAATTATCTAGATTGTTTAAGTTTCTAAAATAGTTTAGATTTCTGTAACAATCTGTTGTTGTTTTTTTTCAGGGGAGTTCATCTTTTTATGCTTTGGCATCTACATGTGTTATTGTGTTAGGTCAGCACCCACAGAGTATTCAGAGGGCAGGTTTATTACAGGTGCAATTTGCTATGAGGCTGTTATATCAACAATCTTCTATGTACTTAGGTGGGTCAATGTTTTGTACGCTCTTATATTAAGCACTCCTTACACTGAGATCTACACTTGATTAGTGTTAAAATTAGTCATTATTATATTTCTTAGTCTTGATAATTCATATGTTTACATTATCCATGTAAAAATGACAGTATACTTTTAAACAAATTTAGGCAATATTATTAAAAAAAATAAAACTGTTTTATTTTTTTTATCTTAGTAAACCTACACTGATTTGAAGTCTAGCTCTGATAATTAGGCCTGAATAGTTTAAATTGAATCAATTTTTTATTTTGAATGTTTATACCTAATTTAAAAAAATTCAGGATACAAAGTTTTGGATGAAAAATGTAATATTGCTCTATTGTTAATAAGCCTACTAATCACTTTAAGATTCACTGCTGAATAAACTTAATGATAGACTTTTTGATACTGAAAGTCAGTTTGTTTTCTCTCCAGACATTTGTGGTGGTACAAATTGCATCCAGACCACCTTTTTCTCATGTTTTTTCTAAGATGTCAGCTCACAGTCACAGTTGTCTTACTCATCATCTTGGGTCCTAAGGTATTGAAGCTTTACTTTTTCTTGATATTTTGTGTTTATAATAAAAATACGTTCAACTGGAGATGAACGTGAAGCGGGGAATAAAATATGCTAAATTGGAGTTTTACCATATATTCAATATATTGTGATATATTTGTGTCAAATATTATAAATAACTGAATATTAAACGAAAATCAATGGCTAAATATATCAATATATATGAGAATATAGGCTCAAAATTAACTTTAAACAACAGTGTTTGCGAGCAAGATTCGCTATAAAAACAGCAGCCATCTGTATGTTAGAGTGGTTTCCCCTGAATCTCTAACTATAATTTTAACAAAAACAAAACTTAAACAAGATGTCTGCTAAAGTAAATGAGCTTGGTTGCATCTGATCATGATGAAAACATCGCTAATCCTTATTTTAACTGAAAAGTAATTCAGTTGTTTAAAAACAGGTACATTAATGAAACTTTCAAGCATTTTTGTAATTTTCAAAACATAAATCCTCCCAAAAATGTGAAATTTAAAAAAAAAATTTACTGAGTCACCTTTTTTTCACATTACTAGTCTCGGACGATTTTTGGAAACCAGAAGTAGTACTTTACTCTTATTTTTGTATGTACACTAGTCTACTACAGACATGCCTACTTTTTCACGCCATGCTGTTTTTGTAAAAGTTTGTCCAATTTTTTGAAAAAAAAATTAGTTTAAACATTTAATAGGCCAAACATATTTTTTAAAAAAAAGTCTGTATCTTTAAGTTTTCCATATATTGCTTAAGATACTGATCTCATAGCCTTAGAAAATTTGAGATGGACAGAGAGAGAAGAGTGTTCAAGAACTTTTATATATTTGGATAGTTTATGTTTGTTTGGTGCACAATTCTTTTTCTATGCAATTCTATTCATTTAAAGCAATGTAATATACAATAAAATTTGGGGGAGACTGCCCCATCTTTATTTCATAAACATTTTATACACACATTTGTTCAAAGACATTAATAAAATTAATGACATATTTGGTTATAAAAAAACACATTTAATTATACAACTTGAAAACAAATGCTTTAATTTTCAAAACATGGCCTGTGGATATAGGTTAGATTGCAAATTGAAAGTTAAATGCATTATAAAGCTACATTTTCTACAGCTTTAGCTCTAATCATATATTTGTTCGTTTTCTTAGGATCCAAAACTATTATCAATTTTCAATAGGAAACACTTGACAGTTTTTCTATTTTAAAAATATTATGAATTTATTTACTGATAAAAACTAGAAGTTAGATATAAGCTTTTTTTGGTCAGAGGAAAAGCAGCCAAAAAAAAAATTAATTGATTAAAAACTAGCATAAAAATACAATGAATAAATGAGATTTTTACTAAATTATTTCATTATATATTAAATTATATCATTGAATCTGTGTTTCTCGGCAGTGGAATATGTTAAATGAGGGCATAATTTTAATTAAAATAGTATTACTTTATAGTTAAGAGTGGCCTCCCTTCAAAATCCTCACAGAGAATACAAAAAAATACATTTTCACCTCAATGACATGTGTAGTAGTGGTCAAGACAGCCTGCCAGCCTACCTGTAACCAGAGTTTCTTCCAGGCTAAGCCCCCCCCCCCTCCCCCCGAAAAAATTCTACCGCCCCCCCCAGAACGAAATGAAATTTATATAATTTATATAGAAAATATATACTTTTAACAGTGTCCGACCCCCCCCCCCCCCCGAAATTTCAAGTGCCCCCCCCCCCCCCCCCTGAAATTTTAAGTGCCCCCCCCCCCCCCCCCCCCCACCGGAGAAAAAAGTCTGGAAGAAACACTGCCTGTAACTGAGGTTGCAGGTACAGAACCCATACACTCAAAAAATAATTTTTGATAAAAAAAAATTTCTTAGACATTAACTTAAATAGTTTATTCATTTGTTAATCCAATTATTAATTGGTTCTAATAATTTTCTATAGGACATTTTTGATAGATTTTCCTATTCAAGAAGATGTTAATTTCAATGTTTCTTTTCATTATATTATGTACCTACGTAATGACGGATAGAGCATTAAGAAAACTTTTTTTTTTAATGACCAGGAAAAAAAAGAAAGAAAAATATTATTTAAAAAAAAACCCAATAAATTATCAGGATTTTAACTGCATTATTTAAAACAATAAGTCAGTTTTGGTATTTAATAAATTACTATGGTGTTTGTTTTATTAGATTTTATATATTCAGGTTGTTGTTTTTCACGATCCTGCAATGCCCATCCTTCAAGTGCCCACATAACTTGACTTCTTTATTACCCATTTCATTCATTCATTAATGATATTATTAAAAATGAATCGATAGATTTGATTTATTAATATCTTGCAATTTAGACTAATTACTTATTAAATTTAAGCATACTTTTTGTATTTCATTTTTATAATTTAAAACTAACTCGCTATCTTCTTCTTCTTCTTCTTAGTTCTTAATTTTAGTGTTGGGAGGGATTCTCTCCAACACAATTCAGTATACATGTCAACTGGTTATGCACCATTGAGGCCATTGACTCCAATTTCAGCCTGCTTTTCTTTTTGAATTTGCTTCCATAGTCTTTGTTCAAAGAAGAACAAAGTACAAGGCATCAGTTGTTTTGGATATCGAGCCTCATCTGCCCGAGGGTTCGAACTCAAGACTTTTTGGTTTAGCAGCTATAAGCTTTACCAACTCGACCACACTGAAACTATTACCTATTTATCTTTTAGTTCAAGGCTACTTCAAAATAAATCAAAATTATTTTCAAAATATAGCCTAAGTTTATTTGTAGGTTTTTAGATCTGGTATTTTTAAAACCTCTTTTTTTTCAGCTGTGGTATGCACATCGGCCTCCTGATGAAGATCATGGGCGGTCAAGGGCTTACTCTCAGTCCGATGTCCAGGACAGCTCTTTCCCTGAGACCATGAAGTTGAATGTGGGGATCTCATCCAACGGTGACGTCGAGGTCGGGGAAATTAGTTTGACTGAGATGGACCCTGAGGACATTCGGGTTTGTCAGGTTTTTACTGCTTTGGTTCATCTTGTCCAAGGTTGCTTAGATCAGGTTTTTACTGTTTTGGTTCATCTTGTCCAAGGTTGCTTAGTTAAAAGAAAACTTAGGCCTATTTTGTTTGCTAAATGACTTGAAATTTTCATTTCAATAAATACTTTTTAACTGTTGTTTACATATAACTAATATAATTTTATAAGTGTATGCTACATAAAAAGCTCTCCAAAATACCTGAAAGTATTATAAGCAAAAATTAAGAATTTGATGTGGTTTTAATAGTTGCCTCATCCAATGGCAAAAACTAACCAGTAAATATCACAACATGTGTACATCTATGTTTGTAAAGTCCAATACTCTTATCTTGACATTGTTTAGCTTGCTAACCCTTTTAAGTTGGGCTTGTTAAGTTAAAATGCACTTTCTAATATATTATGTCAATTCTTTACGATAGTGAACTCTAATATCTGAACCACAATTGAAGGTCAAATTTGCCTGTGAACAACCATTATTGTATTTTTCATGCCCAATTGATAAGAAATTTCTAACGTTTTCCCTTAATATAGAAAAAATGTTTTGGGAGAAGCTGAAATAAAATCTTCAATGTTTTATTTTTTACCAAAATAATGTTAATGATATTAATTACAAAGTTGTCCCCACTTTTAAATAATGAAATAACATTTTCTCCAACAGGCTGAACTGAAAAGGCTCTATACTCAGCTCCAGATATACAAGACTAAAACAATGAGGAAAGACAACCCTCACATCTCTAAGAGGAGGGGTGGCAGGAAGCAGACACACCGACGCTTCTCCCTACAGGCGTTCCACCATAAGCACAGACACCATCATGACCATGACCATGAACATGAGATGTCTAAGACACCAGAGGAATCAACTAATTCTGCCGAAGCCATGGCATTTACAATAGAGCCTAGTGTAAAGGAAGACCCCAATGAAGGGAGGTCGGTTCCATCTGTGAGCTTTAAACCTGGACACAAATAAATGTCTGTTATTTGTGTTTGTTTCATACAAAGTTACATATTACTATGTAATTTCTTTTCTTTATGAGTAATGGAGCAATTTAAACAAATACTGCATTTGTTTAGCCTAGTGTATGTTGGTGACGGTGGTGTGTAATGTGATTAATATAGTAACGAAAGAATCTCCTGTGTGAGTTCAACCTGCGGCTAGATAGAATGGAAAGAATTCCCGCACTGCTGAGGAAAGTCAGATAACAGGTGCACTGACAAGCCATATTGGCTAATGGAGAGAAATGAAGACTAATGATGTGATCCAGTATCATAACAGTGATTTTGTTCTGTTTATGTTTCATTGAATTTCATTCATTTTATTAAAAAACATAACAGATAATCAATTTTTAAAACTACTAACACAAATTAAATGCTAGACTGGAAAAATGTCCAAAAATAGTGATTTCTAGTTTTCAAAAAAATTTACTTAGTTTTATACTAAATAATGGGATTACCAAATTGATACCCTTAAAGAAAATGTTATATTTTACTGTTTTGTATGTGTGGAGAACTATGACTGGAAGGCAGCTCAGCAAACATGGCTGATGTTTATCATTGATTTACAATATAAAATTTTAAAGATATTCCTCCACTCCTTCTATCCTTTATTTTTAAAGTATATTAAAGCAAAATATAAAAATAAAAACAATCCCATTATTTAAAAAAAAATTTATCATTTTGAAAAAAAAATGACCATTATTAATAAATTTCTCCCTAAAACGTTCAGTTCATTCTTTTAGCTCTTGGCTGTTTTAACTGATATTCCAATTACTCCACTTGATAAACTGTTTAAAGTAAAAATGTGAGAAATGTAAGTGTATTTTAAAATAAATCTTACAAACAAATCATTTTTCATTTATTGCAATGAGGACATTTAAAATCTGTTAACTTAGTGTAACATAGAAAAGTGTTCACTAGCTCCTTCAAGCTTGCATGACATGTATGTTTGATGTCAACCAAGCTATTTTTGTGTCAACACAACTTTCATTTTCAAGCATTAGAAGCTAATAATGTTTTTTTTTCTGTAATATAAAATATGAATTTTTTTACCAAAATACATTTGGCCAATAGTTTTGAATAACAAGAATTATTGAAAAAAAATCTTTTAGGCCTATTTAAATAGCTAGAGCAATAATGTAGAAATTCAGGAAATCATAATAGAAATCTTTTTCTAAAATTGTCAGTTAAGAAAAAATGTATAATAATCACTTTTTTATAATCATGAGCGAATAGTCTAAGCATATATTTAAAACTGGAGGTTCTGACTAAATCAATAATACACACATATTTAGGATCAAAATCTGAAAAAAAATGTTGGATTAATCACTTTTATGCCATTGTAATCTGTTATTGCTTGTCTTTAACTACATCTGATTTATTGTGATACTTTTAGAATATCTTATACATGTATAACTATAATTTTAGAATATTTGTGTAAAATATGTGTATTTATATTGCAGCCATTTAATACACTTTGCGTCTTCATATGTTGCTTGACTACTGTGACAAAAAGATAAAGTAAACTTGTCAGTTTCATTTTTAGAATTTATATTTTTGTTTTTAGCAACAAAATTATAACAAAATTGGTACTAATTTATTAGGTTATATCAGCTTAGTTATGCAAAGAATATGTCATCTATATGATATTTCTTGAAATATTTTACTGGTTTATAAAGTTTCTCTCTTTGTCAATTTTCTTTCTTGATTTTTTTTTTATGTTGAACTTTTTTTTTTTTACCAGAATGAATTTTTTTTTGCTTTAACACTTTCGAGTCCGCAGGAGTGGATGTTAATTAATCTAATGGTATCTAAGACATTGAGAGCAACATAGAATTCTGAGTGATTTTTTTTTTTTACAATTTCTATGCAAGACTGAAGTGCAAAATGAGCTACATGGTTTACATTTTAGTTTTCAATGGATACAAAATGATAAAGATATTTTCCAAGGAGGCTGTGATATGTATTCATGATAGCCATCTTGAATTACTGTGAACTAACGGGTAAATTGACATATATACATATGAATAAAAACAGCATCAAACATTTTGTAAAAGTGGTTCAAATTTCACATTTTATGGGCAGATTTCTGTTCCATTATAATGCAAAATTAAATATTCATTTAAAAATTTGTATCACACCCCCAGACAAGTAAGTATTCTACTGACTCAGTTGCTTTTCAAATAATTGCTGTTTTCTAGTTTTTATGTATTTATCATATTTTCATAAATTATCATGAATAGCAAATTTCTACATCATCTAATCACTTTTTTCATTGCTTACGATTTGTACCTTTTATCTTTTGATTAAATTATTTGTATTTGTTTAGTTACTTCAGGATGTACTTTGGCCACATTTTATTGATGAATTTACATTGGGAAAAGCTAACTTTTTAAAATGATGAAGTGCTTTTTTTTTATCATATTATTTAACTAATTATAAAATAAAATAACATCTAGATTGAAAAGTTTAAGTGATTAGTGGTATTACAATTATTTCCATATTTTACAATAAAAGTATAGTTTAACCTGGGTTTAGCTGCTTTCAGGCATGTTTTGTTCTGGCAAGTGTTGTAACAAGATGCATTCAGTTTTGTAGTAGGCTGTCAATGCAACTGTCTTCCCATTCTTCTCTTTTCTGCTTCTCTGTTAATTTTTAAAAATTATTTTTTTCAGCATTCTGAGATTATATATACTAGTCAAGCTCTCTACTACACATTTGTATACATTTTCTTATCTTTATAAATGGTATAGAAGTGTACACGTGATAGTAGATTCAGACTACCAAAAATACTACGTTTTGCTGAATTTTTTCAAAGTTAGGTTACAACTGCTGAATTATCACCTTATTTTATATAATTTTAAGTTATTTATAGCTAGCTTCACAATTCATTGTTCAATTATGGGCTTTTAATTTAACGAAAAACAACATTAAACTAAGTGGAAATTTCATTAACTCAATTAAACTTTACCATACAACATTTGGCAGCCATGATAATATCTATAATTAATGTTAAATGTTGTTCTAGCTTCTTATATTACATGGCTAATGATCTCTGCATCATACAATACTTTTTTAAAGTATTTCTACATCTTTCATGAACAATGCTAGCATTAATTCATACTTCATATTACTACTGTTAAATTGTTCTTCAATCACTGCTATTTTTTAAAGAAAAATGTCCTTTTTCCGTTTTATATATATATATATATATATATATATATATATATATATATATATATATATATATATATATATATATATATATATATATATATATATATGCATATGTATATAAACGGTAGGCCATACATTTGGTAAGATTAAATGCTTATTAGCAACCAAGCAAACATTCCACTAAACACAAGGTTAAAAATTGTTTCATAAGTTTCAGAAAATTAAGTTCAAGTTTACTTTTTATTGATAGATTACTTTTAAACATATAGGCCTACTTTCAAATAGATGAAAACCACCTTGATGTTGATAATCTAATAAAGATTTGTAGAACACAAAATTTGATGCTTATACCATTTTACATTTTCTAACTAATTATGGTATAATAAATAGTTTCCTTTGCATATGGAGGCATTGCGTAGTTAGTGTTATGCCCAGCCCCATTTACTTGCGTTAACATAAGTCAAATACCCGTTAGAGTTTGGTGGACTCATGGACGAATGCTCTACCATTCGAACTTGCAGGACCTAAACTAAAGACTGAATTTGTTTTCTTTTGTAATTGAAAAATATTCTTTACTATTGTTGTTAGATATATTCTGAAACTATATAATGAAAATCGTTTAACTACAGGTACCTTAAAACTAAGAGATATTCTATTATAACCCTTAACACAACAAAAATCACAATATCTCCAAAATTAGATTTAAAACTACACCTACAACAATGTCTGTGTTAAAATTTGAACACTTACATACTGCATATATTTCTCACAGGTTTTTTTTCATCGGTGGAAAGGATAAGCTTGATGTTACATTCATTTTTTAGAATCAGCAATATTTAAAAAAAATGTTCTGTGTTTTTTCTCCTTTATAAAGAAGCAACATATTTGTTTTTCATGCCATGTTAAACATTTAAATTTCCCGCACCCAGCTATAACATTGTGTGTCTGTTGTATCATCTAGCTATATTAAAATTAAAATTTTAAAACATGTCTTCAAATAAATGGAAAATGGAGAATATTGTCAATGTATTTTAAACAAAATTAAATACAAAGAATGAAATAGTTCTGAATAAACTAAAACACTGTTATTTTGCTTATACATATTTATTGCTTTCATTAAACTCATGCTTGTATAAAGTTGCTTTAAAAAAAACATGTTTTCACAATATTTTGTGTAACTTCTGCTTGTATTTTATTTATATTTAAGTGTAACACATTTCACATGCTTCTACTATGTGTCCATTCATGTATTTGATAATTTGTGTGTTTAGGATCACCATTTGATAATGTCTCCTTTGCATACTTTTCTCATGAAACTATACAGTGCTGACCACACTTAATGCTAGATACTGAATACAAGTTTTAAAATATGTCCTTTTCAATCACAGATCTCTAGTTCTAAAATTTTGATTGTTATGTATTTTTTAAGCGGCAGTTGTTTAAGTTGTTAAAGTTTTTAAAAAGTGTTAATGCATTTTATTTTGCCAGATTAGTTTAAGGCGTAAATAGACAATGGTATCTATGTGCTAATATGTTTTGTACTTCAAGACTTTGAAACATGAGACTGATATTGTTGGTTGCTTTTAACAAGGTCGCATGATCAATACATTGTTGATTTTTAACTTTTGTAAATGAGAAATAAAATCTCACACTTCATGTTCTTCATACTTTTGAAATGGAAGTGTTTTTAAATACATATTTTTCATATCGAATTCTGCTTCACTAAGTAAAGTTCAAGGCTGGGGACTGAGGCCATTATACATACGCTGTCTGTTCGATTCATTCTTCTTACTGTTACCATGGAACTGTAACATAATTCATACCCCACTAACATACTGTATATATGTCATTGTAATAATTCTCAATATAATTTTTGTCTCCATTTATTAGCATTATAATTGAACCTTTCACAAAAGAAAAAAAAATAAGTCTTCTTTTAAAGTACTTTCCCTTTTATTTTATGATCATGATTTTTAAATCTAATTGCCATGTTCATAACTTGCACTGTTAGACTTCTTGTTCTAACTAACACTTCACGAACATCAATCAATTTGTTAACAATATCTTTATACTCTTTTACATTGTCATCACTCATTTTTGAAACATTTTTTTTAAAATGAATTACCTGGTCAATGTATCTGAGACAGGTATGCCCAGATTTAGCACCCATTTTTCTCAGTGTTTATTTTTTACAGCCATAAACGTAGGTGTGCTTGAGTTGAATGTCAACAGAGAGACTGAATAAAGGCTTTGAATTAGTTGTATGTGTACAAACTAAGTTTTTGGTAGTTTTAACACAACTGTGAATGTGAGAATATTCATTAGTGGCTTTAATTTGCAAGTGACAATTGAGCGTCCAGTTATTGGTTTTTATTTAAATACTACACAATCTTCATTAAACGATGAAAATGATTTGGAATTTATATTTTGTTTAAAACGTAAAAGTCTGTATTTGTTCCTGTGCTTTTATGAAAATATTTTTAAACCCGGTTAAACTGTCGAAAATAACTGAAATTACAAAATAAATATGAATTTGCTTTTAAAAATGTATCTTCCATTAGGTTTTAAGTATCTGTGAAAAGCCTACGAATTAAAATAAAATAAATAGTGGATCACACATAACCATTTGGAGACCATAACAACGGCACGCATTATTTACATTATCTGTGCACATCTTTAGAAGTAAAATAAAATGTAGTGTGATTTAAATTTTAGATTTGCGAATGGTCTAAAAATGCATAACAAACGTTTCAATAACAAGCTTTTATGTAACAATGCACTAAAAAGGAGAAAATAAATGATTTTCTTTAAATATATAATAATAAATCACTATTTAAATTACTATAAACAAAGCGTGGTCACTGTATTATCTATTGGATACCATTACTAATTTTTACAGTAATTTAAATAGTACTATATATTTTTTTAAAAATCAATTATTTTCTCCGTTTTAGTGCCTTATTACATTAAAGCGTGTTATTAATACGTTTTTTATGAAAAAAAAATTTTCAGTACTTAAAATTTTGCATTTACAAAAAAATAGAGTTGCATGACTAAAAACTATTGCTCACCAAATGAACATGATAATGTGCTTATAATAGTGCAACAAACTGTAGTACAAGACTACCTACACATTTCAGAAAATATTAATTAATTCCCAAAAAATTGATTAGACATCCAATTAAGTCAAACTTCATGTCAGATTTCATTGTCTTCAAGTTTTGAACCACGTGCCAACTTTGAAAGGAATATGTCAGTTAGAAGTGCCCGAAATTTTGCTTTTCTGTTTCGATGTAGACAGACAGGAGGGACGAAGGCAGACAGACGTAATTAAGACATGAAGCAAGTTAAATACAAGCTTGTAAAAAAGCAATTACTTTCGATTTTACATGTGTTTTCTTTAATCCGCTTTTTTTCTCAATTATTTGAAAAAAAATTTTAAATACGATTAAGAAAAAATCATTGAAGTTATGTACTGTAGTTTGTAACTGATCAGTGTGCAAAGGTAATTTTTTTTTCTATGCAAGAATCAATGTGAATGAAACACGCCGCTGACAAATAATCAAATAATAAAAACAGAAGTTTAAAAAAATGTATACAAATAGGGATGTGAGGGAAGAGGGTGTAATTTCTAGTCCTACACCATAAAAGAAATTTTACTTTTATGTGAAATATGTGGCAATTTGTTGAGTCACGCGAGCTGAAAAGCTAAGTTCTAACGAGCCTGTACATAGTACAGTAGTGTGCGCAGGTGTGGAGGGGGGGGGGGAGGGGGGGGGGGCAGGTGGAGCGGCTGCTCGCCCTACAATCAATTTAGGGATATAGGCACCTTTTTAAGGAGAAAAATTAAATAATACTTAAAACACATAAAAATAAAGATCACCTTACTGGAACTACTAATTTGGAACTGTTTTGTTATGAAGCCTAAATGTCGTTGTTTATGACTCATCGTAAGTATACTTCTCAGCTGGGAGCTTTCTGTCACAAAATTCAATCCAATTTAATATCTTTACATCTGCGATTTACTTCATACATGTTTGATATGGTCCGTCAACCATTCACAGTTCGATATTTTTTCACAAGTGTTGCCTTTGAGTTGTTAGCAGTGGCGTAGCCAGGATCGTCTCAAGGGGGGGGGGGTTCCAATTTTTACCCGGGGACAAACTTTCGATTTGCACCCCCCCCCCCCCCCCCGCTCAAACTTTCGATTTGCATCCCCCCCTCAAACTTTCGCTTTGCACCCACCCTCATACTTTTTATATATATACCGAGGGGTCTATGGGGGGGGGGGTTATGACCCCCCCTAACCCCCCCCCCCCTGCCTACGCCACTGGTTGTTAGGCTCAATTCGGCGGACATTGAATTATGTTTTTTAATTCACCCAGCTAATAAATCGAGTCACCCCTTCTCCATCAGAATAAATGTATAGAAGTAGTTTTTTTTTCTCTTTTATAAGGAGTTTTTGTTTGTGGCTTAACCTCTCTTTTTCTCCCCCCCCCACCTGTCCCGATATGCAAATAGGTATTTAAAAGTGAGTTTAACTCTAATTAGTTATCTTCTAAATCGTTTTGCACTTTTCGTCTTGGTTTCGTGTACTAAATATCATTATTTATCACCTCTTAGGCGAACTTTTATCAATTTAAACAAAATAGCATTGATTACTATAACGGAGGTATATATTATTTATTTTATACAAATCTGTATGCACAATTAAAAAAATTAAAATAGTGGGTTTACGTTTTATTTTATTTTATTCTTTGAGGGTTTTTTTTATGTGAGCATATAACATATACCCCCATTAAAAAAAAGATTTTTTTAAAGCAAGTATTCACGTACTTAGCTTTAATAATTTCTCTGACTAAGCTCCTGCAGGAACGAGAATCTTGACATTCGTTTCGTTCTTGACCGCAATATTTATCTTTGGCGGTTCCAGACTGACCGGTGGAATATCCCCAGGCAGTGGCCTAGCAACATGCTTGGACGTCTGAAATATCTCATCGTCATCAGGCGCGTTTTTCTCATTCTCTGCGGATCTCCTGGCCAATCGCACAGCATCCCACCGGAACTCTGCGTGCTTGCCAATGACGTCATCAAACCGACCTGTGATGGTGAAGGCGTAGCGTCTGTCGTCACACAGCTCGTTGATTAAGTCCCGCGCCTCTGGGTACGAGTTGGTCATATCGTTCCACAGCCACGGCTGGGAGTTGGTTTCGCTCTGTCGTCTCAGTGCCGTGTAGAACGGCGTGCTGGAATCTCCGAACTTGTAGTTAAACGTCGGGCGGTCTCCACTTCCGCGATATTGATAATGGTAGTTGGTTCCAATCCCTGATGCGCCTCCACCCCAACGCAGAAAACCTTTAAGCTCTGTGGAAAATATGGGAACGATAGTCGCAGTGTAGGTGACGGAGGTCCTGGTTTTGGAGAGGATAAGGCTCCATTTCGCTGCAGAGTTAGGTCCAAGAGTCTTAGAGGTGCTGACGGAAAACGTTTTGGATTGTTCTTTCTTGGTCTCATCTGTAGTGCTGGTGCTGGACTCGTAGTTAAACTTGTAGCCCGCGGAGACCCCTGCGCCCCCTGTTCCCGAGGCTGGGGTGTAGCTGACCTGGACGTTAAGTTCGTGGCTGTGCTTCCAGCCGCTAGTTTTAGTGTGGGTCACACTGCGTACACTGGTCTCTGACCGTGTTATCGTTTTTGTTGCTTCTTTCGGATCGTTGTTGTATATCGTTCCTGAATCAATCGTCTCCGGTTCCAGTTCCTGTATAGTCGGAGCGCCGAATTTAATATCTTTCATACCAAAGCTCCAATCCCCGTAAACCATGCTGAGTCTGTGATTACTCATGTAACCCTCACATCGCCCACTTTGATCAGCGTACCAGGTGTCGCCGCTTCTTCTGAAATCTTCTCCTACATACGGGGCTCTACAGCCAGAGCACCAGCCGTAACCCAGGTAATGGGCCAGCATAGCAACGTCAGCCATTGTGTTGTCCATGACTCGAGTCTTCACCTTGTACAGCTCATCAAGTTCTTCCGGTGCTGTCACCATTTTGCAGCATCGAAATTTTTCCAGACAGTGTAGTTGGTCGCAAGTGCGGTACAGACCGGTGACGAAGTAGTTGTCATTGCATCTACAATAGCCCACATTGTCAAAACAGATCGAGATATCGTGATCGTAACATTGGCCGTAATAAGCTGGGTGATCCGCTGGCTTAACACATCGACCTTCTTCTATGTTAGTCAACTTGCCAGTCAACGCCTTCGCGGGGTTACTTGTGTATAACCCATTCAGGAAATACCCGGATGGACAACTCGCCCATGTGTTGGCGCGGTCGAAGGTTGACCACCAATCAGCCATGACCACTTGTGTCTTGGAGTGTGTCCATGGCCACGTTACAAAGCAGCAGGTAGCCTCCTCTAGCCTGTAGAGATAGTCGTCCGTCCAACTGGTCCTGTCGTGCCTGTAGAAGCCGGTGATGAAATCGTTGTTGTTGTCACACATGGACAGCCCAGCCGCTTCGAAGCTGTACCACCAGTTGGCGTTGGTGCAGGCAGCATCCCCTCCCCCGGCGGCTAACGTTAGAATCAGGATTGCTGGTGTCAGCAACATCGTCAACATCAAACCTAAAACAGATCAAATTTCGTTTTCGAATACATTTGGTAGGAATAAAATACTTCAACATGGTATCAACAATATATGAAGTTGCACTATTCAATTAGCCAAGCTTATAAATTATGGAATATTGCGGCATTAATACATACATTAATTAGTAAAAATGTGAGTATTTTAAACACATATAAATATTGTCTGCAAAATGCAATTAGGTTTAATTTAAAATTAAATTTGAGTCAAAGGATGCAAACATTTCTATTTAAACTGTCAATATAAAATAAATATTTATGTATTGAACATAGCGGGGTACTTAGTGTAGGCAAATATCTTTTAACTCATAAAAAGCGATTGCACTAAAAAAAATATCTACATTGTACACTTTAAATAGGTAATAAATATAGATAAGGTAAGGTAAGTTTTAAAAATATACGATGTTTTTTTTTTAATTCAGAAATGTATATCTTAGCTAAAATACAAAATGATATCAATTACCTTTAGTAGCAGTTGTTCTTTTATTTTGCTTGATATATTGATTGACATACACGTCTTGTGTTTGAATATGCCGTGGCCACAAAGGCGCTTTTATAGTAAAATGTGAATCCTTACAAAAACAAGATACATATCAGGTAATTACTTAATTCGATTAATTTTCGTTCCAAAATTTACATTTTTATTCATTTTAATTAGGGCAAGGCGAAACTCGTAGTTTTTGAACAGCTAATTAATCCGGTAAATGTAATGACATGCAAATCATTTTGTCTATAGTTTCCAAAACAAGGAAAATTTGAAAACAACAACCGCCATTGAAAGAAAGCAAAGCATTATTTTCAATCTTTATTTATCAGACTAGAGACAAGTACTTTGTGCATTAAAACACATTGTCCACTAGCCATCAAGCGTTTTGTCTATGGCAATCTAGAGGTTAATAAACAAGTCAATGCTGAGCAAGTCAGAAAAATCAAACCTAACACGAGTAGGCAAAATGTCATTGTTAAACTTTTCATATGCTCATAAAAAAAAATCACCAAAATCCTTATTGTTCATAACAATGTTTTTTTTTTTTTGCACTTTTGGATACTTTCTCAATTTTTGTATAAAGAAAATAAAAAATTTAATGAGAAAAATATTGTCGTTTAAAATACCATTTTTATGATACAATTAAGTAAAAACAATACTTTTTTCCTCAATCTTACAAGCTATCTACCAAAAGTTTTATATTCGTCATCATATTGCAATAATCGTAAAGCTGGATTTCTCATACATTTGATAAGTGTATTTTCAATACTTTTGGAAACAACCAAAGCTTACAATCGGCTTTACAACTTACACATTTATGGTATTTTCGTGACTGACTTTTCGTTACTTTTTGCTGTTTTTCTCAGTGCACTTTTAACACTAAAAAGCCTACGACTTTTTTATGTATTAAACAAGGCCCACCATATTTTCATTAACTGTTCTTCCTGCAAAAATACAACTTTTGACACGAGGATATTGTGATCGCTTTCATAGAAAAAAAGTTTATGGTAAATAAAATGCAAATTTTGAAACTTTTGCATACTAAAAGGGTACTACTTTTCAGACCTAGTAGAATTCTTACCAGTAGTTATTTCAAAAATTTGTCTAGACAATTTTTGTATATATACTACAATATAAGTCGTTTAAATTTGATTGCTATAAGTGTATATAAAAAAAAGGATTAGCGTTTTTAAATGTACTGAAAAATTCAAAACTGCGGAGGTTTTTTGTGTTTCCTTGACAACCAAAATTGTTTTCAACCCTTTTTTTTGCGGTTCAATACATACTTTTATGTGCCAAACATGGTAAAAGTATTCAAAAGGCTTTAGATCTTAAACAGAAATAAACTAAGCATATCCCTTTAATTCAGCAATTAAAAATAATCACCCGATTGGAATGAAATATCGAACAGTGCCGTTAAATAAAAAAAAATATCAACTTCTTCTGAAAATAGGCCGAACACTACTTAAAGGGGTTAAGCTTCAATAAAAAATATTTTAATCCTCATTAGGAAATAATTATTTCTCTATAGTTTTTTAAGGGGGAAGGCTCCGGTAAAAAAAACGTTTTTAATACTCGTTAGAAAACAGTTATTTCTATACAGCTTTATTAAGATACATCCACAAATGCATTTCCACTAAAAAAAATTGGTGAAAAAATCTTGGTAACTATGACAACTGCGGCCATCTTGAAAAATTAACCCCTTCGTAGGTTTTCCACCATTCATAAAATATTACATTTTAAGCCCAATAAACAATCAATTCATAATCTTCTTCCATATTTTGGGGTAATCAGCTAAAAATTTTAAGTGCATATCTTCAAACTAATTTTTTATGAATTTTCAAAATTTGTGTCCGTTCAAAACACTAGTTTTAATGCCCCAAAATTCCCCAAAGTTAAGTGTTTTGAACGGACACACATTTTGAAAATTCATAAAAAATTAGTTTGAAGATATGCACTTAAAATTTTTAGCTGATTACCCCAAAATATGGAAGAAGATTATGAATTAATTGTTTATTGGGCTTAAAATGTAATATTTTATGAATGGTGGAAAACCTACGAAGGGGTTAATTTTTCAAGATGGCCGCCGTTGTCATAGTTACCAAGATTTTTTCACCAATTTTTTTTAGTGGAAATGCATATGTGGATGTATCTTAATAAAGCTGTATAGAAATAACTGTTTTCTAACGCGTATTAAAAAAGTTTTTTTTTACCGGAGCCTTCCCCCTTAAACTTACATCCGCATATGTGTTTCAATTTTTAAAAATTTGGTGGGATAATCCTGGTAACTATTACAACGGCAGCCATATTGGAAAATTAACCTCTTCCAACTCTGTGTAGGATTTTGACCATTCATAAAGTTTTATACTTTAAGCCCAAATAAACAATGAATTCATAACCTTCTACTATATTTTGGGGTACTGAGCTAAATATCTCAAACTGCTTTATTAAAATTTTCAAATTTTGTTTCCGTTGAAAATACTAAATTTTGGGGATTTTGGTGTATTAAATTTAGTGTTTTAAACGGACCCAAAATAAAGCCGATTGACAAGCCGACGAAGAAGCAGAGTTTTAAATTACTAGGTTTAGTTATATAAAACACATAAAATACATAAAACACATAAAATACATAAAACACATTAAATACATAAAACACATTAAATACATAAAAACATCAAATACATAAATCACATTAAATACGTAAAACACATTTACTACATAAAACGCATTAAATACATAAAACACATTAAATACATAAAACACATTAAATACATAAAACACATTAAATACATAAAACACATTAAATACATAAAACACATTAAATAATAAAAACATCAAATACATAAAACACATTAAATACGTAAAACACATTTACTACATAAAACACATTAAATACATAAAAAACATTAAATACATGAAACACATTAAATACATAAAACACATTAAATACATAAAACACATTAAATACATAAAACACATTAAATACACGAAAACATCGTCAAATATTTTAAACAACAATGACAAATCATTAGAAATTTAAATGTTGAACCAACTTAGTAAAAATGGAAACTGGTAAACAACCAAAACAAATTAGTGTGGCCGTAAACATACATTTAACATAAAGTGCATCTCTTTTTTTTTTAAACTAAAAAATCAACAATTACACGATAACCATCAGCATATTTAGCATAACTCTGCTGACTACAATTACAAGGAATGTATGGCAAAATGCGAGGCAGTAAAGTGACCTCTCGATCCTAACCTTAGCTGCAAGTAAAGTAAGTCAAAACAGGAATTCATTAGACTACTTAAGCAGCTTGTTGATTGTCACTTGCAGTGAACAGTAAACATGAATTCATTAGACTACTTAAGCAGCTTGTTGTCACTTGCAGTGAATAGTACGGACCGCCTTTTGTTGATTAGGTCGGGAAAATATAATTAGGATGATTCAGGTAAATGAGTTGTTTTGTTAAACTTTGTGCATATCAGTTACCGCCTTTTCTCACTGTAATATGAGACATCGGTATTGACTTGCCTTTCCTAAACTTTCAGTATTTGGGGAAAAAAACCTATAAAATAGTATAACTAGGGAAAACAACAGATTTGTAAATAAGTAACCTATGTTTACCAAGGCAATTTTACGTAGACTTAAAGACATTACAACATCTGAACAGAGAACTGTTATATCGACAACTAGCTATAGAAAAAATCTAACTAAAGGTAGATATACTAATTATTTAGGTTGAAGCTGATGGAAAACTATCATTTTGTCATCAAGCATTTTATTTAGTTGTACAGACATTTACATTTTATGTGCTTAGATAACAACCTCTATTGTTTTGTTAAATACTCGTTAAAACAAAGCAAATGAAATCTTCAAATTATTTTGTGGTTTTCTTATTAAAATAAAATGTAGGTTTACGGGAACTAAACTGGCATTGTATATATAAGCTGTGTGTCTACAGCTAGTAGTAGGCAGTGATTGTAGGACATTAACTGTGGACCGTGAAGTCAACAGTACTGTCGTGGATTCTAAAAATTGTATTGATTTGATGGCATTGATATGGCCATGCAGATTATTCAATACTGTAGAATAAATAACCCGAGGCCAACAGAAGACAATTTATAAATGTGTAACCCCTCAAATTTATTTCAACGTTTTCTGCTGTTTAGATTTATCTTTCAAGTGACATTTAATAAATATACTGAGTGCACCCTGCATCTTTTATCTCATACTACCTCTTTAATTGAACGTGGGTCTGTTCTCATATATTAGTAAAGGTATCCAATATCCAATAGTATCCAATAGGTACTAAGGTGACCGACGCTTTTCTTTATAGTAATTTAAATAGTAGTGTTTAATTTAGTTTCTACTTTTTACTTTTTAGTGCATTATTACATAAAAGCTTCTTATTAAAACGTTTTTTATGAATTTTTTTTTTTTAGAATGACGTTAATTTCTGTATTAAGCCATAAAACATAAACACTCTAGTGCAAACTTACACAAAAAACACACACATACAAACAACACTCTCTCTCTCCCTCTCTCTCTAACACACATTTACACTCTCCAACATACACAAAGACACTTAAATTCATATCATTACTATCATCTAACTAAAATATTTGGTGTAAAATGTCCCTCATAACTCTTGCAAATGGCCAATTACTGTGTGTAGATTTTTATTGTATTACAACATGGACAGAGTTAGATGTACCTGTATATGCGAACAAAGTACGCCAAGTTTGCTATTGACCCAGATTAACTGATTAACTTGTGACCTACTTAGGTCGAGTCAGGTTCCATTTTTATTTTGACATTGTATAATACCTTATATGGAATGATTGTGTAACTCCTGAGGTTTTTCCACTGTCTTACCAAGGGTGTCTAAGACGTAGAAATTTTCCATTAAGATCTGATTGAATGATTCTGATCATATGACCCTCCCAACCAATGGCTACATGAGTTGAGGATGACCTCCCCTGTGGCAGAAGTCTTTAACTGCCCCGCACACTC